TCCCCCCTCCCCCCAGCCCCTTCAGCCAGGCCTCCCCCCTGCTCTCCCCCCAGTCGGGTGGTCTTTCCCTCACCTTGTCTGGGTCCTCACCCACAGGGGGGCTCCCTCCTTCCTTTGTGGGACCCCCCCCCACTGCACACAGCGTTGGCTCCCAGGAGCACAGAGACCAGCCTAGAGCCTCACACAGACCTCCACAGCCATAGAGCTACGGGTAGAGCATCATCCCCCTTCAGCCCTGTCTGATGGGGCTGGCTGAGTCCTCCAGGTCCTAGAGATCAAGGGGGTGGGGGCTAGAGGAGCCGCACACTAACACCATCAACCCAGAAGAATGGGCGGATTCTCTCCCCGGCGAAAGAGGCTGGCGGGAAAGTGCCGATCACGTCCCCGGTACCAGCATCGACAAACATCACCTGCCCCTGTTCATAGTCCAGATGAACCCGGATCCTGCGGGGTCCCCGGCTCGGGGGGAAGGGGATGAGCTGCCCGGGGGACGTGAGAGCCCAGTACCGATCCTCATCGCACTCCACAGCCCAGATACCCTGCTCAGGGGTAAAATCGATATCTCCCTTCCTCCTCACAGACTCTCTGGCCACCCCCACAACACAGAATCGCCACCCCTCCACCTCCACCTCCACCTCCACCTCCCAGTAATGTCGGCCCGAGGTGAATCCCTCACAGCCCAGCACACAGGGCCATCTGTCAAATCTCTCCGGGTTGTCGGGCAGATTCTGCCGTGTGTCTCCCCATCTCACACTTCTCCGATCCACAGAAACGGTGAGGTTGGGATTGGCCGTGTCTGGATCCAGAGTCACGTTTGCTGCAGAGAGAGAATCAGAGCGTGAGGGGCAGAGCTCAGCCCTGGGGCAGGGTCTGATCGTGTCAGTGACAGAACCTGCCCCAGCTGGGGAGTGAACCAGGCAACCTCCTGCCTCCAGGATTTACCCAGCTCTGCCTGGGGAGCAGCGCTGAGATCTCAGCCATGGGCAGGGGGGTTCACACTCCGACAGAGCCAGTTCAGTGACAGAGCGAAAGGACCAGCTCAGCTGGGCCAGGCCCCCAGACCCAGAGTCTGAGTCTCAGTGATTCCATCCCTATGCTTGGGGGAAAGACAAGGGGGGTTAGAGGGAGGTGGGTTTAAGGCATCTGTGTCCTTCCTTTAGTCTCCTTGGCCCCTAGTTACAGGGGCCTCAGGGCTGCAAAGCAGAGAACAGCCAGAGTGTGATGCCTCCTGTCTGTGCCCCCAGCAGAGCTGTCCCTTGGAGAGGGCGAATGGGGGCGACCGCTCCAGGCCCTGCGCTTTGGGGGGCTCCGCGTGCCGGTGCAATTGGCAGGTGCAGTCGATCCCGGAAGAGACGAATCCATCACTTCCACCCTGGATCCCGCACCCCCCTACAGTTGGCCGTGATCCCCAGCATGGCCCAAACCCACTGCTACAATAACAGCTGGGAGCAGAGTTGCTGTGGAGCTCCTGTGCCAACATCACATGGACAGGGTGTCTCCCTTGCACTGGAGCTATTTTCTGGGGTCTGTTTCCAGGCACATTAAGGCCCCTTTGCTCTGACAGAGCAGCACAAAAGGGCCTGACAATCAGGCCCTGGAATCTTTCCCCACCTGCACCCACCTCTCCCCACAGATGTGATTAGAGACCCTGACATCATAGGAGGCTCCCAGCAGATTACAGGGAATCCAACGTCCCCCTGTGCCATGATGCGACTCTGCACAGCCCGTCTCCTTGCAGAGCCCCCCCACCAACGAACAGCCAGCTGAGCACTAGAAAACCTGCTTTTACAGAGACCCCCCTGGCCCCCCAGGACTGTGTGCAGCTGTGGGGGGGTGAGGACACCGCACACTTACTGAACGGCTGCTCGGCTTGTGCTGGGCTATCGGGGACTTTCCACACTCCACACTGCTGGCCCCAGGGCTATGCAATGGCTAATACAGTATTGCCGACTTCAAGGGATCAAATCTCATGAGATTGGCCCAACAATCATGACATGTTTAAAAGGATTCTGTTGTGGTTTCTAGGTCAGTCTCTGGATGTTTGAACTCCCCTGGCCCCTCCCCAGGCGTGCGCATGTGACAATCAGTGTTGCCGACTCTCCCACATGTACGGGAGAAGGGGATTTTGGCTCCTGCTGCAGGAGCTCTCACCCCCACATCTGCCCGTCTCCTGCCGAGCAATTAATCCTGTCCCCCAGCCCCCATCAGTTCTGTTCCCATCCAACCCCCGCAATTCAGTCCCCCAGCCCCCATCATCACACCCCATCAGTTCAGCACCCCTCCCCCACCGCCCTCAGTTCAACCTGCCAGCACTCACCCTATCTGCTCAGAACCCACCAGCAATACAGCCCCCCCCAGCTCATCAGCCCCCCGCTCACTTCAGGCCCCCTGCAGCCCCCAGGCCATAATAAACCCCTCCCAGCCTCACCTCTGCTCCTCCTGGGGTTCTTCACCCTCCCTAGGCCTGGGGGCTACAGTGGGGTCCCCTCTCCCACTTCCCAGGCTGGCCGGGGAGCAGCCGCACTGGGGTGGTGACAGCGGGAGCCCCAGCTGCACCCAGGGCAGCTGACAGGATTTCAGAGTAAAATGAAGCCTCATTTTTAAAACTCTCAAATGTCGGGATTTTTTTTCAGCCACAGCTGAGAGTTCTATTGCGAGATCATGAGTGAGGCTTAATTTTACTCAGAAATCGCATCTCTCTCACTCAATTTGTGAGAGTTGGCATGTCTGCGAATAGGTGATGTCTACCGAACCCCTTTGGGCATTTTTAACATTTTTTCTTTTGACTTATAAAGTAGAGAAGAAATAGAAATGTCTATTTTTGTATGTTGAATTTTCCTATTCTTCATTGTACCACTTGTGCATTTGCTAATAATAAGAATATGGCCAGTGGATGTGATGTATGCGCATAAAGAGTTCTGAGAATGAGGTGAGATGTTCCTCTCTGATTTTCCAAAAGGCTCATTTTTAAATTCTTAGATCTATGGAGATCCACTGCTCACCTCCTCTCCTGCACCCCAGCCCATCTGGTTAACCCAACCACTAGTTACAAAGTCTAAGAGAGGAAAGAATCGACTTTTCTGTTTTTAGGAAAGATCTGGGCAGCCACCAGTAATATGTTGCTCAGCTCCTTCAAATGCAAAATTGAAACAAAACCTGAACTATGGGGCTGCCAATGAGCCACCATAATTCATAGGAAAGTTTTCACTCCCCCTTTGATACGAGAAATTTACCTTTGTCCCACTGAGGTTTAGATGACAGTGAGTCTAGAGGAAGAAAAGGGTGAAAAAGATGAAATGTCAGGTTGTCATGTTTAGGGATATATTCACATTGTTAATGTTCTAACACAAAAGCAAAATGAAAAGAAAACAAACTTTATGCAGTTCTAGTTAAGGAGGTTAAGTGCAATTCAGACCAATACAAATCGTTACACACATCACTAAAAACTAACCACAAACATTAAAAACTAAGGACATGACCTAAGGTTACACGACAGATCCACAGATGTTTTACCAGCAATTACACACCTGTGGTTGGCCCATGACACTCGACCTGGACTCGCAGGGCTCGGGCACTGGGGCTGTTTCATTGCGGTGTAGATGCTCGGGCTTGGGCAGAGGCCTGGGCTCTGGGACCCTGTGACGGGAGAGGGTCGCAGAGCCCAGGCTCCAGCCTGAGCCCGAACGTCGTGAGCCAGAGTCAGGGGCCAGGTGCCAGCCACAGGTGTTTAATTGCTGTGTTGAGAAACCCTCTGAAACCAACACATCATTCACAGACAGACCCACACACAGACACTTTTTCACTGATTAGCATTCAATCAACTTTACATCTGTCCTTGAACCATTAGTACTCAGTAAAACTGGCTCATCCTTCCTGACAGCCCTGGTGGTCTCATTCTCTCCAGCTCAGGAGGATAAAAGGTGGAGAATCTCTAAAGCAGGGGTGGGGAACCTATGGCCCGCGGGCCAGATCCGGCCCGTTGCTAAATTTAATCTGGCCTGTAGCACCCCCGCACCCACTGGAGGGTTGGAGCTGCGAGTACTGAAGCCCCGAGCCTCTGTGCAGAGCTGTGAGAACTAGGAGTGTGGAGGGTATTGCAGCACCTCCGAGGTTTTGCACAGGGTCCCAGCCACGGCCCCACGCCCAGGGTCCCAGCTGGCTGCTGGATCCCCGCCCGGGATACTGCCCCTGGCACCGCACGCGGGGTCCCGTCTGCTGGCCCCGCACCCAGGGCTCTGCTCCCACCCCCAGCTGTGGTCCCAGCCTCAGCCCCCTTACCCCTGTCCACATCTCGCCACTCCCCCCAGAGCCACAGCCGAGTCTTGGCCCCAGCTCTGGGGAGGAGGGGGCACAGACAGGGGTAAGGGGGGGTGCCTGGTAAAAAGTTTGGGGACCACTGGCTTTCAGCACCCCCACAGGAAAAATTGTTCCAGTGCCACAGAGTGCGGCACTGCGAGCGCCGGCTTGGCCTGCTGCGGGGGGAAGCCCCGAGCATTCAGGCCCCCACCCCTGCGCGGGAGAGTGGCCCGTGACTGATTTTTTTCTGTGGGTCAATGGCCCATGATAGAAAAAAGGATCCCCAGCCCTGCTCTAAAGCAAGAGAGGGACTGTGATGACACAGGAGGCCTTGCAGACAAAAAATCCAAACAAACATACTTCAAAAACAGTGAATTCAGCAGGAAGCCCAAGCTCAGGTTAACGTTCATAGCTGCTAAGAAAGGAAACCCCCAGGGAGTGCGAATGTAGGCCCCTAACCCAGTGTGTATGTGCTGTATTGAGAGCTGAGGAGGGAATTCATAGCTTCCAAATGATTAGCTGACTATCTCCATCCACAATCATTGTCCCTAAGAGATTTCCCCAGCTCTGTCAGTTATCAGTGTAATATAGGTGAGAAAATTCCCCAGGTGACTGTTTATTACCTGTGAATTTCTTCATTATGGTCTCCAGAGATGCATTTCTTTGAGAAGATTCCCACATTCTCCATTTCAGGTCAGAAGAAAAGGCCACTGGGTTCTGAAACTTCGCCCTCTCGCATCTGAAGAACAACCCAGTGTTACTCGTTGCGGAGTTCGGTCATATTTGTGTTTTACTAACATGTGTTTTACTCCAGTGAATGGTTGTAGCTCAGCAGATCCTGGAGGATTAAAGTCTCTATTGCCCCAGGAATAGGTCCAATCCCAGCTTGGACACTACAAGCTTCCCCTTCGTTTTGCTGAGACCGATATTGGAAAACTGCCTCCAGTTCTGGTGTCCCCATTTTAAAACGGACGTTGAAATACTGGAGATGGTGCAGAGAAGACCCACAAAACTGATTTGAGGGCTGGTAAAAATGCCTCGCACTGAGAGAACCCTGGCACTTGAGTGTGGGGTATAAATACCGTCATGGGGAGAACAGACTTGGTACTAAAGGTCTCCTCAGTTTAGCACACAAAGGCACAACAAGGACCAATTGCTGGAAGCTGAAGCCAGAGAAATTCCCATGGGAAATCAGACAGACATTGTTAACAGTGCGGGTGGATTAACCATTGGAAGAAACTGCCAAGGGAAGTGGTGGATTCTCCATCTCTTGACAGGGGCGCCAGAACACGGGGGCCGTGGCCCCATCACTTTTAAAAGTGGGAGAGCTCTGCTCTCTGCCTTTGTACCTGCCTTAAAGGCAAGTGATGGGGGGAGGGGACGGAGAGGAGCGATCAGGGGGCGGGGTCTCGGGGGAAGAAGCAGACCAGGGCTGGGGCCATGGTTTGGGCACCGCTGCCCCCCCCCACTTCTAGGGAGCGTGAGGAGTTACTGTCTGTTGATGTCTTTAAATCTAGACTGACTGGCTTTCTGGAAGGTGCTTTAGTCAACACACGTTAGGATTTAGTCAAATTCAAGTTATTGGGCTGAACACAGGAATAACTGGGTGAAATTTAGGG